ACCCCAGCAAGCAATTTTGCGTTTAAAAGACGTCTATTAGCCGTCTAAACACAGCCCAGACGTCTAGGCTAAAACAAGGCTAAATTTGGGCTGTCAGTGAAAATCTAATAGACGTCTAATCATAGCCCAAGAATAGACTAGTCATCAATTAGACGGGACTACATATATTACATATATACGTCTAATAGGCAACAAAATGGCAATCCATACATACAGCTTTTATTAAGATTTTTAACAACAGCTTTTATTAAGAAAAATAACATTTTTAACAACTTGGACAACTTAAGACAATAAAAAATGATAAAAATACAAAAGAATTAATGACAAAATAAAATGTTATAAATACAATACACTTAAATATAAATATTAAGAAAAAAAATCTGGAATTTTTAACAACTTAAGATAATAAAAATATAAAAATGAAAAAATAAAATTTAAATAACATTTAAAATTTAAAAGAAAAAAAAATCAAATACAAATCAAGAGCATGTTATCACACTTAACATTAAAAGATAAATGTCTTCCCAACTGCATTCCTCAAGTCCAACTCTGTTGCTGCCGGGAAGTCGGTCATCACAGCATCTACCAAATAAGAAACAAACAAAAAAAAAAACACAAGAAAAGCTTGACATAATTTTTTTACTTTAATTACACTAATTGTGTCAGGGAGTCATTCTCTTTGCTTGGATGCCTACTAAAAACAAAAAACGAGATATATATAGTGTATCACCATTCAGTGTGTTAAAAAAGAGAGAAGCTCTCTGGTAAATGTTGTGCGTTTTATACACATACCTCTAATGACCGAGAACAGTGCTGTCTTTTCAAATGCCTCTTTCTGCAGCGGACCACCCCCCTTCAGGTTGAATTTGGACATGAGGGAATTTTTTTAAATAATATGGATTAATCTTTGTCAAAGCTGTGTTTGTTCTGTTGTTTGCTCTTTGCTCTTCTTGCGCTGTTTTAAAATCGATTGAGTTTGTAAACACATACAAATGATAAAACTTTTACTCTATTAAATTTGGCAATGAATCCTCTGAACACATGCGTACTGAACCGTGGGCCTAGTCATGGATCACTATCAACTACGATCTGCTCCCTTCACTAACATGTCACGGTTCCTAAACATGATAACAAATAATATAGATAAATAATGAACACATGTCAAAATGAAAACACAGATACTTACAAGACCAAGTAGGAATGTCCTTTATCTTTTGTTCTCCGCTCTCTGTTCTTAGCTCTCCGACAAGTAAACTTAGTGCTCTCTTGTGTAAAAATTTTTTAAAACACAACACTGATCTCTACTAAAATGATTAACTCTCATGTCTCACGTTACCAGTAGTCATGTCTCAGTACAGCCGAATATCAATAATATCATAATGTGTATGAATGTAACATTTACATCTCAAGTTATTTTGCCAAAAAATGACATGAAACCAAATTCAAGGTTATTTGGGCTAGAAGTGGGTTACACATAGCCAGACTATATCGGGTCTATACTTAACCGAGACGTTGAAATTACGGCTATTGCTTGCTGGGTGTTAGCGGCTTTTAAAACTCTCTCTCTCTAAAAAATCATTTTGCGCAGTTATTTTGAAAATGCTTCTAAATTCGAGTTTTGGATCAGGTCATTAATATAAACTAAAAGAAGATTAAATATTTGATAGATTATTTGTAGATTATCTTAAAAACAAATTTAGCTA